GAAATTTTATTTATAACATAGATGTCTGACATGGTACTTATATCTAGAATATATAAATAACTCTTACAATTCAGTAATAAGACAACTGATTAAAAATATATATATATTATATATAAACATATTTTTGAATAGACATGTCACAATAAAAGATTTACACATGGCCAATAAGCATATAAAAAGACTTGACAATATATTGTAAGTTATCAGAAAAATACAAGTTAAAAATCACAGTGAGATGCTAATGCATACCAAACAGATTGAAATAAAGGCCCAAGTTGAGAGTTAGCATGTAGAAATATTTAGAGCACTTTGGCAAAGTAATTCCATGTCTTTTGAATCCAGTGCTAACAAAATAGAGCTTGTATTTTGTATGTCTTTGTAGCATTTTTGCACTTGGTTGTGGGAATTTATTGTTATTGTAATCCATACATTATTAGTTTCTGTGAGATGAGAATTTTTAATAGTTCTTTACTGCAGATATTTTGAGAAGTATTGCTCTAAGGAATTAAAAATCAAAATGTTTGGCCCATAGCAGTAAACTAGCAACATGACCTTTTACAAATAACAAAGAAACTAAAGAAATATACACTGTCGATGTGGATTGATCTTTAACGTTTATCACTCTCCCTTGGATTGAACACCTGTAGGTCAGAAACCACAAATTGCTTTGACTGTCACGTTTTCCCCCATATGTTATTACACTGTATGCAGACTCTGAGAGGTGAAAAGATTATAGAAAATGTGTACGTTTAATTTTCTGTGAGAAGTTTAGAACAGAAAACATGGCTGACCTTTACATTGATGCAAATGTGGAGACCAAATTTCATGCTGATACTCCAGATGGCCACAACTTTCCAAAGCCTAATAAAGTGGGTTTTTTCTTATAAACTGCTAAATTAGTACATCAGCTGCTTAGCTTTAACATCATATTGTCTTTACGTGATGTGATGATCAGATCTTTAACAACTGAAGAAAAAGCCACATAAACCAAAATAATACATTGACTGTGAAATCTCAGCTATTTGGTCAAAGAGAATCTGCAGGATTTTCTCTCTCAGTGGAAAGTTAAAATCAGTCAATTCATTGAACTATAACTGCATTTACTAGATTTTTTTCATTGGACCATTCATTGGACTATGACTTCATTCATTAGACTATAAGTCTATTCATTGGACTATAACTTCATTTACTAGATATTTTTTTAGTTAAAGGGGCAGCATCATCTGTACACATATATACACACACCACTAGCATACAGTGTGTCTGCTCATGCGTATTGACTTACTGATGTGCTAAAGGTTACCTGTATTCTTCTTATTGCATGTAGACTGTGTGGAAAAGTTGTAGTGAAGATGGAGACTGTAATGCAAATAGAGAATTATTGTATCCCCAAGTTTCTTTATTAAATAATTATTAATTAGTAGAAGAAAGAAATTTTAGTAATGACTTAGAATAAGTTAACTCATATGATACCTATGCAGGGTTCCTGTAACCTGACTCCTCAGTACAGAAGGGCATTGAAGACAGTGCATTGTTTCTCTGACTAAAGATCCATCAGATTTAGAAGAGAATGTTCATAAAGTTATGTTGGAAACTTTTTGATTTTCATGGAAAATTGAAGTCTCCAAACACTTTATTGAATGTTGCTTTGCTGATAGAATCTATATGAATCCAGAAATGAAATTCAATATATAACACTTGTAAAAACTTTGTGATTTTCCTCCAGCCCATACTTCTCACCAAAGAAGTTAAGCTGTGACTCAGTGTATTGGTAATAATTTTCTGAGCATACGGTCATAGCAAGTACCTTTAATATAGAGTTTTTGCTCTTTTTCTTTGCCATTCAGAGACTAATTTCCTTATGTAGTAGCAAATAGAGAATTGAATATTTCTCCCAATTATTTGAACATTTATACTCATGAGAGTAAAAGGTTTATATAAAGTAAAATTTCCTAGAAAGGAGTAAACAGGGTGTATTGGTAAAGGTATAAAACTTCCTCACAATAATTATTAGTTCTCACTGTTTTGCAGTGGTAGTTGTATTTGACCATTTTAGTGTTCTGATAATCTTTTGAGTAAAATTTCCAGTTATAAAGCACTAAAATTGATCTTATTTTTAGAACCACCTAGTTCCATCATTAAGATAAGTATAACATCAAAGTTATTGAATTATATTAGTGACTCAAATACCTTAGTGTGATTATAAACAATATTTCACTCTGTAGGAGATTCTAGTGTAATTATGAATCATCAGTCATCCATGCTTTCTCTGCGTCTGCATTCTATTCTCTTCCAAGGAGATAATCATAGTACTTGCTACACAGCATCAATGAGAAAATTGAATCAGCTTTCAAAAATGTCTGGTATATAATAAGTGCAGTATGAATATTTGCTGGTATTACTATTGTAAACATTTCTGCCATAACAAAAACACCTTTGATTGTCTTCCTGTTTACTCTTTACCATACTGTTTTGTTATTCTTTACTTATTTCAACGTACCTTGATTCAATGTCCTAATTATCTGAATTATGTGACTTCTTTTTTTTTTAGCTTATTTGTTTTACAGTTTAAAATAATACTGATTTTTTGGAAATTAAAATTATAACCTGATTATATGTTAACCTAGAAACATTATTTTTTGGAAAAGTAATTATGTTTTCTAAAATCAAAAATTATTTTTCCATATTGAATTATGAATAATTGACCAATTGTATATTTTTAAAGTGTACACTGTGATAGCTTGACTTTCATATACATTGTGATTTCTTTGATTGTGGTTTTCTGATTTAGTATAAATTTAAATTGCTTTTTTTTTGTTGTTACTCCTCTGATTTTATTATTCTTAGAGCTCATTAAGACTCATTTTTGTGTATAGGAATAATTTATAGATAGAATACTGGCTGTGTGTGCCTGAATTAAAATTTCAATTAGGCACCCATTTACTAAACAAAACACAAAAATTGGAGGTACAAAAAAACACACACACAACTGGTCATATTTCTAATCCAAATTAGTATTCAATTATTAAGTATCATATGCCAGAAACATATGTTGGTGGCAATAGTACTTACTTAATGAAAAGTCTATAAAAATTAAATGAGTCAGTGGATGATGAACACACACATGGACTCTGTCATTATCAACATCCCCAACCCAAATGGTAGATTAATACAATTAATAAATCTTTATTCATGCATTATCATCACCCAATGCATAACTACATGTGAGTTATTTTTGGTATTGTATATTCTATGAGTTCAAAAAATTCATAACAACATATATCCATGATTATAACATCAATATGGAATTGTTTCATTGCCCTAAAATTTTTCTTGGTTCACCTATTTATCTCTTCCTCCCAGTATGTTCTCGGCTACCACTAATGTTGCAGCCTCCATAGAGCCTGCCCTTTCCACAACATCATGCAGTTGAAATCACACAACACGTAACATTTTCAGCTTGACTTCTTTTACTTAGTGATATATGTTTAGGTTTCCTCCTTGTCTTTTCATTGCTTGGAAGTGATTTTTTTTTTACATTTGAATAATATTGTAGAAATTGGCCAGATGACTGTAAAATTTACATGAATAGACAAATAACCCAAACTACCCATTTTAAAATATATCCCTTTGAAGTTTATTCACTAACTTAATTCAAAAATTAGTCTATCTTCACTGAGTAACACTGTATAGCTCTGGCCTAAAGATAAGCAAATACATCAGTGAAGCATAATATATTTCAGAAGTAGGCTCACACATATATAGACCACTGATTTTCAAAAAAAGTATAAAGATAATTTAGTGGAGAATGGATAATATTTTAAATTAATCATCTTATTGGAAATCCATATGCAAAAACAAAACAATGAAAAAAACTTTAATTCATGCCTTAAACTATAATAAATCAAAGACAAAAATATAAATATTTACACATTTATAAGGAAATATAGTGGAAAACCATTGTGGCATTGGGATAAGCAAAACTTATGATGACAAAACACCAAAAATGCTATTATTAAAGCAACAAATTGATAAAGTAGATTTTATTTTAAAAAATAAATTGTCTTTAAAATACACTTTAAAGAGAATAAAACCCAACCACTGCCAGTAAAAATATTTGCAAATCAAATATATCATACAGGATTCAAACCAGAAGATATGAGAGCTCTCAGAACTTAATAATGCAGAATAAAAACATAAAAATTAATACAGTGTTTATGTAGACACATCAATAAAGATGGATGATATGTTTATTGCATACCTGTATATGAAAACTTCCCTGAAATCACCATCACTTAGATAAATGCATATTAAACAACAATAAGGTAGTACTATACACATATATTAGAATGATGAAAGTTAAAAGCACTGACCCACAATGTTTAGACAAGATATAGTGGAAGTGAAAATGCTCATGGGAATAGAGGGCGCTATAGCCGAAATGGGAAAGGGTTCAGGACTTCTGGGAAAACAACTATTTAAATATGTACTTGCCACAGGATACAGCCATTTCACATCTAGTTGTTCACCAGAGAGAAATAATAGCCTTTGTCCACATATAGTCATGTACACAATATATACTTGTTCAAGTCAATTATATAGGTAACATGCAAAACTGGAATAACCTGGATATCCTACCACAGTTTATCAGGAGAATGAATTATTACATCACAGTAAAATAAAGTACTACTCAGCAATAAAATAAAATTTTAATAAATTCAACAATATGAATAAATCTTAAGATATTTAGATTGAGTCAGAAAAGTAAGAAATTTTAAAGAGCAAATTGGTGCTTGCATTGATGCAGGTGGAGGGAAAGCAGAAAGGGTCAGGAGGAGAGGTCATTAAAAGTCAAAAAGAAATTTTGTGGGTGATGACATGTTCATCTACTTTTCTGTGTTAATGATTTAACAGGTGTATATTTATGTCAAAAACTATACACTTGAAATATGTGCAATTTATTCTATGATATTATGTCTCAGTTAAGACGTCAAATAACAGTTCTTGCTTTGACAGCACATACTGTAAAACTAGAGTGATACAGAGAAGATTAGCCCAGTTCCTGCGCAAGGATAACACGCAAATTCGTGAAGCATTCCATATTTTTTAGGAAAAAAAGACTTCAAATAACAAAGTAATAAGTTGTTTGAATAATTTTCTCTATTGTAATTACCATTTTTTGGTATATATAGTATCATTAATTTTTCTGCATCCACTGTTGTCTTTATCTGTTTTTCAACATATTCACTTATAATGTGTCTCTTCTACCTTTAACTACTTTTAGATTTTTAGTGGCAGAAATGGAAACACTTCAGCTTAGAAGATTTTTTGAATACTCTTCATTACACAGAGACTATTTAGACCCATGACTTTGAGCTGAGAGGCATAAATGTAGTGAATGCACAGCAGGGGATTAGAATCCATAACCAGATATTATATAATAACCTACTCTGGAATACGTATATCAGACAACTGGGCTAATAGTTATTTTTTATCTTTGTACTTAATCTAGATTGATTTATAATTGTATTATATTGCTGCTAGCCCATCATAGTTGAAAAATGGCTTGAATGAAGTAACTCCCAATTTTATATACAGAAGGGCACTTTATTAATAAGAGAGAAACACTTGAATAATTCCTTTGATCTTTACAGTCCCTTAATGGAAAATGTCTGCCCATTGAAGTAAAGGGTAGCTCTTTCCTTTTGTGAGAGCAAGGGAAGTTCAGTTTCCACTGAGATTCCTTGTTTGTTCACCTGAGTTGGGTTACTTTGGGTTAATGTCCCTGTAAAAATGAAATTGCTTCCTGGTTGAAATCAGCAATGAAAGTTCATCAGTCATTACGCCACACAGGGCTGGAGTGTACACTACCTTCTGGAACTGCTTAGCAAAAACCTGAAGAGAATGTTTTTCTTTTATGCTAAACAAAACTATCCATTTTATTTCAATGCTGTAAATCTCATTATTACACATGGCTAACTATGGTCCCTGGACCAATTATTTTAGGGCACACCAATTTTAGACAGTAATAGTCTAAAATAAACTTGGTGCTTGATAATTACTGAATATTTTTTAAATGTCCAATCCTGGAAAAAGTTTAATAAAAGAGCTAATTTTCTATATTGGTGGTAGACAATACTTCCTGGAAGGTGACTGCCAATATGTATCAGTAATCCCAAGGGTTTTCATTTTATCTACTAATTTAACTTTTGTAACCATAAAAACACTTTGAGATTGCATTATTTTTGATATCTATATCTATACATACTTGTATATCAATCTCTATGTGTGTGTATATGTACATATATTATGTATATACATTCATACATATATATGTATATAGAGATTCATATATATATGTACACACACATATATAATTTGGTGGTGAGGTAAAAGTCGCATTCATTTTTGCCATTTTTAAAATTTTGTTTCATCAACGACCCATATTTGAATAAGCTTAATTGCACCTGCACTATTGTTTGCCTCAAAATGCGTCTCTACTCTGCTTACATGGGCACCACCTTAATCTTCTCCCCTACTTGTGAGTGGGAGGGCTGGCTGTACTAGCTGTAGTTTTATGCGTCATGGTTCTCTCCTTCAAAGGAGTGAGGAAAGGATCTGAGGGCTTGGCCCTCTGGTCAACTGTTGGGAAAGTTTGCCTTAGTACATTTTATCTCCAATTCTAGTAGAACTATTCTACAAGGACTATCCTAACCTCAGATTTTTGTTATGTACAATAGATTTGGGTAATTCATGGAGAACACGGGTTGCACCAGGGCCTTACTACTATAGATTCTTTTCCTTTGGTTGCTTAGTATGTAGTTTTCTTTGCAGCACCATGTCATTTCTGATTACAGATATGAAACTATCTTTGTTCATGGACTTTGCCTTCCTAGTCTAAAACCTGAGTTAGGGTTAAAAACATTTAACCACATGATGGAGTTGCTTCACATTGGATCTGGCCAGCATCACTGAGCCAACTGGAATAACATAAGCTCCTTCCATAGCTTGTTTTGGCTTCTACCTCTTGGCCGTGGGCAGGGGGATATTAGTGGGATACTCTGAAAATATATGCCACTGACTTAAACCACCACTGAAGAGTTCTCTATAGTAAAGGGATTTTGTTCCAATCCCCTATGACTCATCCCAGTTACTTGTTATTTTGTCCATGGCATATGGTATTTAGCTGATAATTCACAAACTTTGTTCTATAATTATGTACCTTACTCTAGTTCCAGTAGGAATCTATACTCTACTATATATTTGAAATTCTTTAGAAGAGAGGATTTATTTGGTATATCTGAGTGTTCTCAAATCTAAGTAACCATGATTCCCATATGGTGAAGTCAGCAACAAACATGTTGGAAGGGGCATTATTTCTTGGTGAAGAGATGTTCTAAGGGAAAAAGTAAACAAGCAAAAAAGCTTTAACAGTTGGAAAATGGATATACATTCCTGAATGTATTTTTTACTATAATCAATCTACTCTAAGGAAATTTAGAAAGTCACCTAATTTAATTTTTTAAATCCTTACTTGAGGACATGCTCACTGATTTTAGAGAGAGGTGAAAGGAAGGAGAGAGAAAGGGAGACAACCTGCAAACAAGACCTGTGCCCTGACCTGGAGTGGAACTCATAACCTTCTGGTTTAGAGGATGACGTTCCTACCAAGTGAGCCACAACAGCCAGGGTGAAACATCACCTAATTTGTTATCAACCTCCCCAAATTCAAAAGCAGTTATCTTAATGAAAATTATATTCTTTAATTACACATATAATTTGAAGTTGCAAGTATTGAATTCAAGTTAAACAAGAAAGACTTTATCGAAGGCCATTGCAATAAGAGAGAAAGGCCAGGATTCAGTCTGAACTGAATTCTGCTGAAACAAAAGGCAAGAGGCTTTTTATTGTTGGCATGAGCTAGTGAAAAAGTATTGGAACATTAGGAGGTTGGCTGATCAACGGAATATGTGAAGCGTATTGAGTTTGTTGAGTTTGCAAATGTGTTCCTCTCTTACTTGGCCATCTGTGTTTGCTAAATGGCACCTGTCAAATTCAGGCTCCTAGTCTCACACAGAGACTAGGAGATAGGGGTCTTATCTTTCTTGATAGATGACTTCTGGGTCCTTGAGAAAGACGTTTCTGGGTTGTACAATAGGCAAGAGGCTTTTAAAAAGATTTAGGTATATTAGAAAGAGTCAGAGAAATAATTTACAATGAAAAGGTCTACAATGAATGCTCTAAGGAAAGGAAGATCAGGCAGAGCCCAGAGTCAGAAAGAAACCTGTCTACACTTTAAGTCAAGCTGAGGAAAACATTAAATCTATCTTGGTCAAAACCCAGATAAATAAAAATACTTTTTACTTTTCCTGATTCATCATTATTTAGCCTGTGTCTATTCTAATAGAGCTCACTTTCAAAAATAGAGTAGTATCTCCTTATTCAGGGGGGCATAATTCAAAAGTTCTGGTGAATGCCTAAAGCCATATATAAAACTGAACATTTATACATTATGTTTTTCTTATGTATACATGCCTATGATAGTTAATTTTATGAAGCAGACATAGAAAGGCATTAACAAGAGTAACTAACAATGAAGTGGAATTATAACAATATACTATAATAAAAGTTCTATGAATGGCTACGAGACCATTGTTAAGCAAATAAGGGTTACTTGCACATAGTAACTGATGATACACCATGATGGTCAGCCTGGTATCCCAGAAAGCTACTAATGACTAAGGAGTGGTCAGTGTGTACAGTGTGGTGATGCTGGACAAAGGGATGGTTCACGTCCCAGGAGGGATGAAGTAGAATGGTAGAAGATTTTATCATGCTGCTCAGAACAGCATGCAATTTAAAACTTAGAAACCATTTATTCTTGGAATTTTCCACTTAAATTTTTTTCAGACCAGGTACCTAAAACCTTGGAACATGGCACTATAGGGGAGTCTATTCTAATATCAACACATGTTTTTGTTTTTAAAACATGTTAATAGATGTTAAGTGAATGGGTTAAGTTTAAAAGGCAGGTCTGTTATTCTAAGTTTCAGGCCTATTTTTCTGTATGAATTCCCCACTTACAGGAGAAGCACATGAATGACTGTGACCAAGGTAAACCTTAAACTTGTGGCCAAATCATGGCTGAAATTCCGTCTTTTCTGGTTAAGGGAATTTTTAATGAGGTACAGGTTCTTATTTAAATAACAAAGATTACATTTATCTTATAGAACTTTTAGAAAATATATTGAGACAATTTTTAAAGGTCTTAAATGAATAGATATGTTCATAGCATGAACTCAATCAATATGTGTGTTATCATTACCCTATTTGTAGGGAAAAGTGTGGTTTTGGGGCCATACATGATTAAGATTTGCAAAAGCGCTCTGAAGATTTAACAGAGGGTTGGGTGTCTCAGCCTATGCCTTGGATCCGATGTGTTGGTGCCATCTCAACAGAGCTATTGAGCACACTGCATTTATCCAAATTCTCTGGCCTTATCTGCCAGCTCCATGAGAAATAGATAATATTCAAAAACATAGTGCTTAAGTATGGACAGGGATATTTTTGCAAAGAAAGATAAAAATTTGGTATAAGTCAAGGGAATGCAGCTAATACAGAAAAATAAGTTAAATGGTATGGATCATATAGGCTATTTTTCTCCTTTTCTTTAAAAGATTTCATTTATTTATGTTTAAAGAGAAAGGAAGGGAAGGAGAAAGAGAAAGAAAGAGAAAGAGAAAGAGAAAGAGAAAGAGAAAGAGAAAGAGAAAGAGAAAGAGAAAGAGAAAGAGAAAGAGAAAGAGAAAGAAACATCAATATGTGGTTATTTCTTGCACACCCCTCCCACTGGGGACCTGGCCAGCAACCCAGGCATGGGCCCTGACTGGGAATCCAACCAGCTATTCTTTGGTTCACAGGCTGGTACTCAATCCACTGAGCCACACCAGCCAGGGCTCTCCTGAGTGTGAGTGTGTGTGTTTGTACTTTGGGGGGGAGAAATCTGCAGGTGGAAATTATATAAGAACTTATTTATTTTGCCTAGGTACAAATGGATCCATAAAAAAATCTTGCATTCGAGGACTGCTATGGACTGAATTTTGTCCT